CAGACTTTCCAATGAAGTCCTATGCTTTCCCACATCTCCCCCACTTTTTGTTTTGCTGGCTGCAGAAGACAGAGGGAGGCGGCAAGCTTTCTGCTTTGGAATGTCTTGGTCCACGAAGCGTGTTTACTGCTCGAGTTTCGATTTTGTAGACTATAGGAAAAACAAAGAGAATTACAATGACAGTAATGTTTAGTCTAATCAAGAAGACAGGGTGCTTATAAGTATTAAATATTGCCTTCTAGCAAGATGTAAGGGACAGGATTATAAAAGGGAAGGGGCTAGGGTGAGGAATGTAGCTACATGCAGGCCTGAGGTCTGTAGACATAAGCTATTGTCAGGCGATGAGATGTTGCTGAGATGATGATTTGACTCATGCTTATTGGTTCTGCTTGCTGGATTCACAGCTGAGTCACCTTCCTAATTACTTCACACAGGCCTTGAAAAGTACACTTTAAAAAAATTTAACCCCCTATTCACATATAAGTATATGTGTTTTAAGATTTAAATTAATATGATTACTTTTAAGATTAATTCAGGTGCTCTATCTATTGGATTTATTATTCAGTATACTTATAATTGCTTTTAAGATTTCTCTTTATAAACCTTCTATGACTTTATAAACATTATTATGACTTTTACAATTATTCTTAAGTATTCCTACTCTAATTTTCTTTCTTCCTGTTATATTCCTTTCTTTATATTCTTTCTTACAATTTTTACTTCCTCAACTCTAGTTCTTCTTTACTTGTACAGACTCTCTATAACTTATACATACCTTTTACTATATATATATATATATATATATATATATATATATATATATATCCTGTGTAACTTATATATACCTTTTATAACTTACACATACCTTCTGTAACTTATACATATCCTTTCAGTTTGTCTACTTCACTTTCTTTTTCCTTTTTCTCTATACCTTCTATTACACGAAAATATAAATTCCTTCCAGTTATGATTAAAAGTTAGTTCTACACAGGTTCCTTTATTCCTAGTTTCAGAGTAGTTGGAGTAGTGAGAAGTATGTCTTAAAGTCTATCTTTCCTCTAGTTGGCGTATCATCCTTGCTTTGCTCATGTCTGTGTAACTGCCTACTATACCCCCCTCAAGGATCTTGGCTCTGAATTCTTTTAGGGATAGAGGATGCTGAGTTTCTTCTGTAACTGCTTCGTGCTGAGGCTGGTCAAAGGATTCTCTTAGAGCCAATAAATCCTTGCTCTCTGTCAGAGGGTGATGAGGCCTGGGAACAGAAGGAGGTGACAATGGTGCCTAGAGGTGATATTCTCTAGGTGTAAGTAAGGCTTGTAATCTGGTGGAGACAAACTGTGTTATAAAATTTAGTATTATTGGGCAAAAGAACAGTTTCTAATAATTTCCTGTTGAAATGATTTTTTTCTCCCTAAAATCACCCTCATTTTTATTAAAGACTAATTTACTTACTTCATTAAGTCTAGTTATAATTTGGCCTGATTGCATGAACACAACAAGAATAACAGTTGATTACATAGACTATTTTTTTTAAAAAAATGCTTTGCTGGAATTTCATGAGAAAGTTTACTTCTAGGGCCAAGAAGCCAAGCCACACAGTTGCCATCAGGCTTTGCCTTCAATACCTACAGAATTGGGGTACATTCCTCAAGTTGAGGTCCCTACAGGTGACTTGAGGTTTCTTTCATGCCATCTCTCAGGAAGCAACCTTCGTTCCTTACCTGGGAAGATTGCCATGAACCACGTGACCAAGCATGGTACCAGGCTATTTATCCAAGGGGCTTATCAGCTTCAAAGTCAATTTTCATTCCTTAGAGCTTTCTGGTGACATCTAGAGTCCTGGCATTTCTCTCAGACATGACATTCCAGTAAAGCTTTGGTTAATAAAACTACAATTGGAAACTGACCTATGTCCTGTTACAAAGAAATCAGATTCTTATTGTACTCATGCAAACAAGCACATTGCCATGCGAACAATAATTAATAAAACCATAATTATTTTTAGTTCATTTAGTCCTATAATTAATTTTTTCTCCTTATTTTTCTTGCCACTATTTCTATAAATCTAGATACTATATAGAGTTCTAATAATTTTTATCTAATTTGAGGGAATGATCTGAGAGTTTATTCTCAGAGATATGTAGCTTAAAACAAATTGGAGTCCTTACTATGGATCCCTGAGAAGATGTAACATTTTTTTTAAATGTATCATAACAAAATAGTGACTGTCTCCAAATGAGAAGAAATTTAAAATGACATGGTTATTGATTTGATTATAATGCAAATGACATGGAATCTTGTCCTTTCTGTACAACACAATATTCCACAATATTATAACTTATAACAATTAGTTATAAATGAAATCATATTAGAATCTACTTAATATGCTTATATAAATAGAATATTATTATTATTTCCTTATTTGACAGAGCTTCCTATATACCTTAAGTATAAAATTTTCCTTCATAAGGAGAGAAAGCAAATCTTAAAATTTAAAACTCTGGGAAGATAGTCAAATATACAGTATTATATTATTACTAGAGGCCCGGTGCATGAAATTCATTCATGGGTAGGGTGCTTAGGCCTGGCTGACAATCAGGGCTGATTGGGGCCTCCTGGCTGCCAGCCAGGGCCTTCCTTCATTCCGTGCCACCCCCTGCTGGTCAGCACACGTCATAGTAAGCAATCGAACTCCCTGTCTCCCATTCGAACTCCTAGGGGACACTTTGCATATTAGGCTTTTATATAGAGAGATATGTTATTAAACAGTATTAAGTAATCTATTCATTTAAAGTAATCTACTTCCTGATTAACATAACATAATTTTTAAATAATATATTTATAACCTTTGCTTCTTAGGCAAATACAGGAAAAACCTTTTTTTATTACTTTCAGAAATAGGCTTATTTTTCTAATGGAAAATATACTCACATTCTTAAGAAGCATAACAGAGATAGTGAATTCCTTAGCTGAGAAACAATTTCCTTGACCTCGGAAATCCCAAGTGGGCTCCAATGACTTACTGTGCAGTTACTTTCATTTTTTTTTACTTTTTGTTTTCGAGGGTTCCACCGCATCTCGTTGCATTCCTGGCTCCTTACGTGGGGCACCACTTTGCCGGGGCTGACCAGCAGACCCTGAGTGACAGATGAATAGATTACTCTGATACATGTTTCTGTGAAAGAGAAGGCTAAGGGGATGTTTGGCTTTAGGAGCAAACAGCCCTGTTTGCCTGCCTCCTTAGGCTTTTATTGTAACAACAGCTTGAACTAATATTAACCTCTAGATACAATCAGCAAGGTAAGCATTCTTGAGAAAATACTTGCATTTGTAGTGTCTTTCAAACAAGGACGTTTTGAAGTCTAAACATAAAGATTCTAGTAAAACACCCAGAGGCTCAGACTTGTTTGGAAAAGTCAAGGCAGAGTCTGCCGCCTGCAGCAAGGTCCCACAGAGGCCTTTGATCTTTCAGAGAATCCTCCTTACAGACTTTCCAACCAAGTCCCATACTTCCTCACATCCATTGATGAGCACAGCAAAGGAATTGTTCATTTCTGTTATGGTGTCTTTAGAATTTCCTTTTGATTCTTTCTTATAGTTTCTATTTCTCTGCTTATATTATCCATGTCCTCTTTTATGTTGCCCACATTATCATTTGTAGACCTTAGCATATTAATTATAGAAATTTCCATTCTGATAATGCCAACTCTGCCATATCTATGTCTTGTGAGGTTTGCTGTGTTCATTCAAATTGTGGCTTTTGTTTGTTTGTTTGATTTTTAGTATCTCTCGAAAAGTATCTGTTTTTTTGTATTTTGCAATTTTTTGTTTCAAGACAGACATGATGTAATCGGTAAAGGGAATTGTGATAAACAGAAATACGGTAAACAGGCCTTTAGTGTGATGTTTGTTTATCTGGTTAGGGTTTAGTCTGTATTGTTTGCTGTATTTATAAGTCAGAGGCCAAACTTATCTCTGGTATCCTTGTTTTTATTTCCCCTGTTGTCTTTGGGTTTCCCTAGAGTCTTCTTAAATATTATCTGAGAAGCATAGTTATTTTAGTCATATTTTCATGTTATTATCCAGAAGGCCTGTTGATGTGGTGGCAAGGTGTCAGAAAAGGTGTAGCATTCTACAGTCCTATAATTACATCTTAGTCTTTAGTGATCCTGTGCTCCTGACTTGTTACCTTCACAAGTGCTCCTCTTTTTTATTTTGGTTTTACCACTTAGAAAAGGTAGGAAGACAAGCCTGTCTGTAGTTGGGAATTTCCTTTTTCCTAGGTCCTGGTAAAACCCCAGTATATGAGAATCTGGTAAAATAGTTTCTCTTGAGGATGGGTCTTGTGAAGAAGAATGAAATGCTCTTTGCATAAAATTTAAAAGGCCACTTTTTCTCTCCTCTCAAAAGCACAGAAATATGAGGGATTTTTCTCAGATCTTTAGTGTGAGAACCTGATAGGGCTCCTGGAGATAAAACTCACAAAAGTGTGGAGTCCCCACTTAGGACTGGGTCCCTATAGAATTTTTCACTCTCAAACTTGTCCACACCAAACCTCTAGCAATTTTTTAGTTGCAGATTGGGTTTTTCTGACCCTGTACATATTCCCAAGGGTTTTTTTACTCCTGGACTTTGACTCTAGTAAGTTTTCATTCTCTGTATCTGCCTGTCTATCTCTTTAGTTCTGGGGACAGTAGTTTGCCCTATGTATGACCTCAGTCCTTTGATTGATCTAAGAGGAGTTTATTTTCTGTTCGTTACATGTTTTCTTATCATGTGAATGGAAGAGATGATTTCCAAGCTCCTTACATGCCTGACTGAAATAAATGCAAGGGAATTTTTTGAGATATAAAATACATTTTTGTTATAAATTTTCATCTCTTGAAAACTGGTTAGTGTAACTTAGTCTTTTAATTAAGGCACTTTATTTTCCTTTTAAAGGGGTAAAACGTAAGATCTTTGGAAAGTTAACATTTTTCTCATTCTCTTTTCTCAATTAGATCCTAAATGCCCAGGAGATGTTGATTTTCATAATAGTGACTGGGACATTAAGACAATCACCAGCTCCTTGAAATTCTACCTCAGGTATGCCTGATATGATTTGGGACTTTTCTTTTTATAGTTGACTAGAGGCCTAGTGCATGGATTCATTCACGGGTGGGGTCCTTCGGCCTGGCCTGCAGGGATTGGGCTGAAATTGGGCCTCCAACATCCCTTGAGGGGTCCTGGATTGCAATAGGGTGGTTCTCGGTTGACACACCCCAGAATTGGGCTCCCTCCTCTCTGGTTCCAGGTGCATCACCCAAGAACCACAGCTACCAAGTCACTGCAGCTCGGCAGCTCCAGCATTGAGTGTCTGCCCCCTGGTGGTCAGTGCACATCATAGCTACTGGTTGATTGGCTGGTCGCTGGTTGCTTAGGCTTTTATATATATAGATGAAAGTTGTCTGGATGGAAATTGGAGTTAATGTGGTCCACATTTCAGGATATTGGATCAGATTGCTAAAGAAAAAGCAAATGAAAAGGATTTCTATTAAAGGAGAATGTACCTTAGAAAAAAAGAAAAAATTTTTTAAATCTTGGAATTTAAGCAAGGGAAGCATAAAAATAATAGAATTGCTATTGAAAACTGTTTTTTTAGGAGAAAACGATTTTATTTTAATTATTTTTTATTGAATTTATTGCTGTGACAATGGTGAATAAAATTATTTGGATTTCAGGTGTATACTTCTATAATACATCCTCTGTATATTGTATTGTGTGTTTATCACCCAAAGTCAAGTCTCCTTCTGTCACCATTTTTCCCCCTTTACCCTTTTCTAACTGTCTCCACTCCACTTTCCCTCTGTGTTGTCTATGTTTATGAGGTATGTGCTTTTTTATTAAGGGGGAAATTTTTATTTTAAAAATCATGCCCTTAAAATTTAAGTTTTGCCATTTTGCACCGATAGTGATCTCACTATGTGCTCACTAATAAAATCAGGATTTGTGACCATTTAAGGTTCTTAACATGTTTTTGTAAATAATAACCATTTTGAAACATTTAATTACATTTGCGCAAATATAATCTGTGTGCTTGTGTATGGGTTTCATATCTAATGCTTTAATCAATATAATGGGGAAAAATAAAATACAACCATAAAAATGTTGGAATTAAATGAAGTGGCAGCAGTAGGGAAAAAAGTTTATTCCCTAGCAAATTTTTTAGATTCATAACAATGATTAATATATTATTCAATTTACTGGCATAAATATATATTATGAAAAATATTTGTCACATATCTATATTTTTAAACATATTCATTTCTTACCATTTTTATGTTTCATAGTATGTATCATACTTTATGTGCTAAAATGTCTTCTTTCCAGTTATTATACTTTTTAGTCATTAAGATAGATACTTAAGCTCTGGAAAATATCATTAATCCAAAATAGATTGGGTCTCAGATATTGCTGTTAAATGACCTTCAGCTGTGGCATTATCTTATAACTTTATATGAACATGAATACTCTTTCTAGGAGTGTTTCTTTTGCATCTGCCAAATAAAAGAGATGCTGTTGTGGAGGGTTTATTCTTTGCTAGCCAGTTTTCTACTTGTTTATACTGACAATATCATTGTTTTTTCTCACAATAACTCTATATAAGGTAGGTGGCAATAATACTCATTTTAAAGATGGGGTAATTGAAGTATACCCCTTTCCATATTAATAATATCAATGGTCACAACTCATTATTTGAACCTAAATATCTCTGACTTGTAAGGCCACTGGTATTGGAGCGTCTTCTTCCTTTAGTCCTTACTGCCAAGGACTGTGGCTTTCTTGGAGTTGCTTTGGTAATTTCTTTTTTTTTAAATTAAATCTTTGTTGTTCAGATTATTACAGTTGTTCCTCTTTTTTCCCCACATAGCTCCCCCCACCCAGTTCCCACCCCACCCTCTGCCCTTACCCCTGCCACCCATTGTTCTCATCCATAGGTGTACAATTTTTGTCCAGTCTCTTCCCACACACCCCACACCTCTTTCCCCCCTGAGAATAGTCAGTCCACTCCCTTTCTATGCCCCTGATTCTATTATATTCACTGGTTTATTCTGTTCATCAGATTATTTATTCACTTGATTTTTAGATTCACTTGTTGATAGATGTGTATTTGTTGTTCATAATTTGTATCTTTACCGTTTTCTTCTTCTTCCTCTTCTTAAAGGATACCTTTCAGCATTTCATATAATACTGGTTTGGTGGTGATGAACTCCTTTAGCTTTTCCTTATCTGTGAAGCTCTTTATCTGACCTTCAATTCTGAATGATAGCTTTCCTGGGTAAAGTAATCTAGGTTGTAGGTTCTTGCTGTTCATCACTTTGAATATTTCTTGCCACTCCCTTCTGGCCTGCATAGTTTCTGTTGAGAAATCAGCTGACAGTCGTATGGGTACTCCCTTGTAGGTAACTGGTTGTTTTTCTCTTGCTGCTTTTAAGATTCTCTCTTTGTCTTTTGCTCTTGGCATTTTAATTATGATGTGTCTTTGTGTGGTCCTCTTTGGATTCCTTTTGTTTGGGGTTCTCTGCACTTCCTGGACTTGTAAGTCTATTTCTTTCACCAGGTAGGGGAAGTTTTCTGTCATTATTTCTTCCAATAGGTTTTCAATATCTTGCTCTCTCTCTTCTTCTGGCACCCCCATAATTTGGATGTTGGTACGCTTGAAGTTGTCCCAGAGGCTCCTTACACTATCTTCATATTTTTGAATTCTTTTTTCTTTTTGCTTTTCCAGTTGGGTGTTTTTTGCTTCTTCGCATTTCAAATCTTTGACTTGATTCTTGGGATTCTCTAGTCTGCTGTTGGAACTCTGCATAATATCCTTTATTTCAGTCAGTGTATGCTTAATTTCTAGTTGGTCCTTTTTCATAACCTCGAGGGTCTCACTAGATTTATTGAGGGTCTCACTAAATTTATCGGCAGTTTCTAGAAAATTCTTGAAAAACCTTAAAACCGTGGATTTGAACTCTATATCCAGTAGTTTGCTTTCCTCCATTTCTGTCATTTGTGACTTGTTTCTTTGTCTCCGCATTTTTTATGCTTCCCTGTGTTGATAGAGTGGCTTTCTGTGTTAGGTGTCCTATAGGGCCCAATGGCTCAGCCTCCCCAGTTATCTGATGTGGACACTCTTGGTGCACCCCTTTCTGGGCTTTGTGCACAGTCTTGTTGTAGTTAAACCTTGATTGTTGTAGTTATCACTGGGAGGAATTGACCTCCAGGACAATTGGCTATGAGAATCAGCTGTGTCTGCAGTGGGAGAACTTCTGAGCTGGAGACACCCTTCTGGGGCAAGACTTGCTTCAGTGGGACTTTGGTGCTCACTGAGTCTGCCCCCTGAGTGTGTCCCTTATGGATCTGAGGAGTTGTAATCTGGATGGTCCCACTCTGACCACTGGGTACAATGGCTCTTGGATCTCTAAGGAGGTGCTAATTTAGCCTCTGCCTGAGGCTACCCAGCAGGAGCTATGGATAGATTCCTCTTCTTTTTGGGGGTTTTGAGGTGCCCAGAGGAGGCCCAGCTGTGAAGCAATGCAAGCTGCTGTGGGGCCTTGGACCTTCTTTTGGAAGTTCTGGATCTCTCTGATTCAGCTGCAGTTTGTTAGGTAATTTTCAGGTTGCAAAGGGCCAGGCCTTTCATATGCAAAAGCCTCTTTGCACAACTTGGGTGGGGCGGGGTCTCAGGGAATCAACAGGGTGGAACAAGCAGCTATGGCTGCTCCCCAGTCCTACCCTAAGAGGCCCTGCGTCTCATGTCATGGTAATCGCTGCAAGCACCTCTGAGAGAAAGCCGCCCTTGAGTTCTGCCCGATGCCAGACAGTCCAGTTTCTCCCCGTATGAGTCTGGGTCCCCAGAGACTCACCCGGAACTGGAGTTCAGAGCAGTTGGGAGCTTGAGACTCCCTCCCAATTGAAAAAGACAACCGCCTCCTCAGCCGCCAGCCCTCTCCACATGCGACGCGTCCTCAGCTGCCAGCCATTTCCATGTGCGCCACATCCTCAGTTGCCAGCCCTTTTGGTTTGCGCCTCAGTACCTCTGCACTTTACTTCCACACCACACCTCCTTTGAGTCTCAGTGCTTTTCTCTTTCCTTCTAGTTGTGGAATTTCCACTCATCCAGCCTTCCTGTGGTTCTGGATGATGTCTGTTTTGTCTTTTAGTTGTATTTTTAAAGTGGTTGTGCGAGGCAGCAATTTCCGGTGTTTATGTCTGCCGCCATCTTGGTTTTTCCCTCGCTTTGGTAATTTCTTAAAGACAGCAATCTGCTTACTTTCAGGAGACTTGTGATGACAAGAATAATGAGAATAAATAATTCTGTCTGTGGCTTCCTTCAAATGAATCAATGTTTTCAAAGTTTTATATAGCTTAAATTCCTTCCCACATTACATCTTTTCTAGCTCATCCCTCAATAAACAGTGTGGCCCTTTTGAAAGATGGGAAAATCAAATGTGAGTGGATGGCATCCCTAATAAGAGATATTAAACCTTAAGACTCTTATTTATGGGCCTTTAATATGCACTAGCTAATCAACATCCTTAAGATTTCTCAAAGATAGCAGTATTTTCACAGTGAGTCTCCTCCATCTGTGTTCTAGGCACCTAACTCATCCCTTATCTCTAACATTTCCAGAAAAATACTCTTAAGAACTATACCTTCTCTTTCCTGTATCTTTAACCGTTCTCATTCAACTGGCTCTTGCCCCTTAGCATATAAATATACTCTAGTAGTGCACATCTCCTTGACCTTCTTTCATTCATTCAATCCACCATTCACTGAGTCATTCAATAAACATGTCCTATTCTAAGTCTAGCATAGTGTTAAGCAGTAGGCATATAGATTATAGAACAGTGAGGGAGGCAGACAAAGACAAATAATTACCTATGTATCTATATATCTAAAAGCCTAAGCAACCATTATGACTGAACGACTGGAACGACCTGTTGACCAGTCGCTATGGTGCGTACTGACCACCAGGGGGCAGATGCTCAATGCAGAAGCTGCCCCCTGGTGGTCAGTGTGCTCCCACTGCCAACCTCCTGCAGCTGGCAAACCTCCTGTGGTCCCTCCCCCTGGCCTGCCTGTCAGGATGGGCCCTGATCTGGGTGGGACTGACCAGCCAACCTCCTGCAACCCCTCCCCCCACCCGGTCAGGCCCTGATGGGCCCTGATCGGGGGTGGGGCCAGGCAGCCAACCTCCCGTGGTCCCTACCCCCAGCCCTCCCCGCTGGGCTGGCCAGTCTGAGGGACCCCCCCACCCATGCACAAATTCGTGTATTGGGCCTCTAGTACAAATATAACAAACTATAGTAAGTGCGCTGAAGGAAAGATACAAGGTATTGTGAAGGCAAATAACAGGAAGACCTGATTTATTCTGGTTGTTTGAACTGAGGTTTGAATTATAACTTGGAGTCAACTGTGGGAGGCTGTTTCAGACAGAGAGAACTCAACATGCAAAGGCCTGAATTAAAGGGGAGGAAGACCCCTTCAAGAAACTTCATGTACCTGTATAGGTTGGGTATTGAGTGTCGAGAGCAGGGAGAGATATGTAGGGGCCAGGTCATGCAAAGCCTTATAGGACATTGTAAGAATTGGGGCCTAAGTTTATCTTAAAATGATGGGAATATACAAGGGTGGACAAAAGTAGATTTACACTTGTGAGTACGTGAAACAAAGTTTATTCTTGTATTATTTATTAAGTATTTTCCATGTAAACAACTGTAAACCTACTTTGGCCAACCCCTGTGTTGAAAGAGTTTAATCAGGAGATTGCATGATGAGATTTGTATTTTGAAAAAATGTAGATAGATCACATTAGAGCAGCGGTTCTCAACCTGTGGGTCGAGACCCCTTTGGGGGTCGAATGACCCTTTCACAGGGGTCGCCTAAGACCATCGGAAAACACATATATAATTACATATTGTTTTTGTGATTAATCACTATGCTTTTATTATGTTCAATTTGTAACAATGAAATTGGGGGTCACCACAACATGAGGAACTGTATTAAAGGGTTGCGGCATTAGGAAGGTTGAAAACCACTGCATTAGAGGAAGGTAAAGTAGGTACAGGTAGAAACCAATTAGCAGGGTATTGCTGTGGTCCAGGAAAGATTGTGCTTCTCCTTGGACTGGGAATGGCATTGGAGATTAGTAGAAATAAGCTTACTCAAGAGATTTAGCTATAGGATTGTCTAACTCTAACCACTATACTGTACACCTGAAACTAATACAAAATAATACTGAATGTAAGTTGTAATTGAAAAAAATTAAAAAGTTATAAAAAGAAATTTAGGGAGTAAAATTGGATATTAAGATAGAGGATAGGGAGATAAAACAGTGATTTCCATGTTTCGGGCCCATATAACCAAATGATGGTCATGCCTTTATTGAATTTGGAAATACAAGAAAAATACTAGATTTGAGATGACGTTAGGTTTTGAAAATGTCAAATTTGGATGTCTTTGAAGAAATCAGGACAAGATCTTAAACAGGCAATTGGATATATGAGAAATATAAAAGAATGAGTTCTAGGCTTGAGATAAAAAATTGAGAATCTTTGACAATGTAGAAGATAACTGGAAGCAGGAGCATAGATGAGATTACCTCTTCCAAACTAAACTTCAGTATATGAAGTAATATACCTTGCCTGTCCCTATTTAATCTCCCAGTTTACTGCTTAACCCATTGCAATCTGACTTCTACCCTCTCTGCCCTATTGGTGCTGCTCTTGGCAAGGTCACTAGTGACTATTTCAATGCTAAACACAATGGATAATTGCCAGCCTTTACTTTTTTACCTCTTTGTGTCATTTGAAGCTGTTAACAAGTCCTTTTTAAAACTTTCTCCTCTTTTAGATTCTGCTATATCGCTTGCTTTTGGATTTTCTCCCACCTACTTGACCATTTTTAGCAGTCCCATTCATTTATGAACTTTCTATCTGCTATTTCCCAGGGCTCTCCTCTCTTTTTCCTACGCTGGAGGGATGGAAAATTTAGATATCCACAGGAGCCAGGACATGAAAATGAGTGTGAAATAGACTACTTTCATATTAAACATATTGCACATGGAACCATTATGTGTATAGCAATCCCTTTGTTTATATATAAACAGCAGTATTCTTTACTGCCACAAATAATCATATGGGCCCAATGTAGCCATATCTTTCAAATTTTTTAGTAAATTTTTATTTATTTATCTTTATTGTTAAAAGTATTACAGATGACCCCCTTTCCCACTGTCCCCCTCAAAGTTTTTAAGAGGCATAAAATATGAATTTTTATGTGAATATTTCAATTTTTTATATTCTGATGGATGATTCAACTCCATTTCTTTTTTTATACACTATTCTGGACAAATAAATGTTGAAAAGCCTCATGTAGATATTGGCTGCCAGATAGCTATCTCTACTTGAGCAGTTGTATCTGTTCTCGTGGTTTTAACCACTGTCCTAGGTTCATGATTTTTATATCTACTTCGCAGATCCAAAAGCTCACTCCATCCATCTTTCTAAAACACATATCCCTTTGGCTATCCCAGTGACCCTCTGACATAGCATTTCCTCTACCCTCTGAATCAATTTCTATTCTACCCAGTCACCTAAACCAGATTACTCTCTCCCTTATCAACAAACCCAATTGTTGGATTTCTGTCTTTACTATCTTTTAATAACTCTCCTCACCTTTTATTTCTGTTACTAATTCCACTATTTTTATTTAGACCTTTATTAACTCTCTCCTGGATTACTATAGTAATAACAGTGTCAAACAGTATAGCATAGTGATTAAGAGCATGGACTCGAGGCAGACTGCTAGTTTTGCACTTACTAGATGTGTGGTCTTGGATGAATTATTTAATTTCTCTGAACTTCAGTTTCTTGTCTATAAAATGGAGATATTAAGAATATATACTTTATAAGGTTGACATGAGGATTATATGAGTAAATGTATGTACATCACTTAAAACAGTAATGAATTTGCTATTATTATTATTATTATTATTAGATTACTTTCTTCCTCTGTGCCACCCACTACTTCTCTTTATTTTATTGTCACACTTGTCCTATTGCATTGTAAATGTTGTATATGACACTCTCCTTAATAAGACTATTAGCTCCTTGGAGGTTTGGATTATGTCATAATTATCTCTGGTATCCCCAATACTTAGTACAATGCTAGACACACATAGATGCTGAGTCAATATTTTTGCTTTTACTAAATAAACCTATTTGAGACTCCTTTATTTAATTTGGAATTGAATAATTGCTACACCACACATGATCATTGAAAAGATCAAATGGGAAGACAAATGTGAAAGCAACTAAGCAACTATCAAACTGTAAAGACTTCATAGTAGCACTTAGAAGTTTGCTTGGAATTTTGCAGGATTGGTTTGTGCCTCTTTTCATTTTGGGGAATGAATTAAAGACCTTGCTCAAGGTCACAGCCAATAGTTTTATGGGTCTTCTGTTAAATTACTAGCAACTAGGATTCCTCTGACAAAGTTTCAGGTGAGGAGAATAATGTGTGTAGTCACTAAACTGTGGGGCTCAGAAACTTCAGCCTTGCTATGCACAGAACTGAGAATCTGTGGCCTGGGTACTCCCTTCCCAAAGGAACTTACAGTCTTCATTAATTTCAGGAATCTTTCTGAACCTGTCATGACCTATAGACTACATAAAGAGCTGGTCTCTGCTGCCAGTAAGTATTTATGTTACCAGTTAATTGTGTTATCCTGGTTTCTTAATATTTACAGCAATAAGCCTAGAAAACTGCTTGAGGGAAAGTAATTGAGCAGGCAGAGGGGGGAATACATAGATTTTTATGCACTGCCAAATGAAAGTATTCTCACTTGCTGTCTAATTCAAGTGTTGTATTATTTTTCATAAGTCAATGATAGTTGGTTTGGAGAAAACTAGCTAACTTGAGGGATGTGATAGGTTATTGATCAATTGTGCCTCTTCCATTGATCCAGAGACAGAGAAGCATCGATCAGATGCTCAAACCTCAGAGGGAAGGTAGGGGAGGGAGGGGGTAAAGGGGAGAGATCAACCAAAGGACTTGTATGCATGCATGTAAGCCAAACCAATGAACACAGACACCAGGGGGTTGAGGGCATGAGCGGGGGGAGAGGGGGCAATGGGGAGATAAGGACACATATGTAATACCTTAATCAATAAAGAAAAAAAGTTAAAAGAAAGAAAGAAAGAGAGAAAGAAAAAGAACAAGAGCATTAGCTCACACTACCAGGGGACAGCATAATGGTTCCATTAAGCTTGCTGTTTCAAGTTGTTTCCAGCATTTTTTCCTTTTCCAATTCCTTTTAATTGTGTTGTGAGTCTTTACTCCTAATCTGTTAGTTCTAGCAGCATGTTTTCTAGATGTTAAAACTGCAAGTGATGGTGGAGAGGTGCATGGGTCATAAGGCATATAGAATCACCCCAAAAATTGGCTGAGGCCCCTGTATGAGTATTTTTGCCTACGTGACCCCCCTCCTGCATCATGCCCTGTGTGGCATGCAGGAAAAAGAATCACGGGGCTTGTCCTTATAATGAATGTTTGTTGAGGCAAGACACATATTAATCGTTACTCTGAGCCCTCTAGGTGATTTTCTTAGGAACCCCAAGGATGGTGGGTGGGCAAAGGTTTCCATCTGAAAATTTACATGTGGAATGTTAAGAGTGACCTTTTGTACCCCAAATTCTGAATTCTTCTAAGACAGTCTTGTCTTTTCTTCTCATATTTCTCCTCTCTGTTCTAATTTCTTCATCTTCCTAGGCCTACCTTTTTTATTTCTCTTTTTTTGCCTTTTGGTCTGTGTCTTCCTCTAGCTCTTTGTCACATTGTCTTTGTGTCTTAGTATATTTCTTGCCATTGTGTTTCTGTGCCTATTTCTCTTTCTGTCTCTTTTCATTTCTCTGACACTCTCGCTGTCTCTTATTATTTACCTTTGCATGTACACATGTGTGTATGTATGAAAGTTTACTTGATACCATTGCCCAGAAGGCAAACCTCTCTCTGTCTCTATTCTCTCTCAGAGTCTGACAACCTGGATTATCGCCTGGGAGCTATTCACTCCTTGGTATATAAGCTACCAGAAAAGAACCGGGAGATGCTGGAACTTCTTATAAGACACTTGGTCAAGTAAGTAAATTCTGGGGTTTCATGAAGAGTTCATATTAGAGGACTGGCTCACATGGTAGCACTGCAAAGAAATTTCCTGTCATATCTAATTCCAAGTCCTCAATTGCTTCATCCTGGACATGCTGAGTGCTCTTTAAGGAAGATGAATTTGCCTGGATCCTAGTCTATATTGTCCCAAAGTCATGAGGCATCTCATTTGAGGGGTTGTTACAACTGAGACAATCCCACCAGGTACAGTGGATCTGAACACAGGCCTTGCTCTCAGATAAACCTGGTTTGTTATTCCAACTCTACCATTTATTTATCTGGAAAATGTTAGGCAACCCTCATCCTCTGTTTGGTCGTCTCTGAAATGACAATAATATTGCCTACCATGCAGCAGCATTGTTGTGTGGATTTGAATGAACACAGGTAAAGTGCATGGCACTCAGGAGGCTTTCAAGAAATGGGAATTATTGTTAAGATTATAGTCAACTTCTTGCTTGGGTGTGGAAGGCCAGTACAGACAGCAGCATTCCAGAGAATAGGGCTGGTAATGGGCTCTAAGATGGGTGTGTGTAAGGGGCATGTGTGCCCCACTGCAATGCTTCCTGGCCAGAGGATTCAATTATGTGAATAAAGACGAATTTACTTGACTAATAAATGGCCAATTGCTGCCTCTTTGGAAGCAGTATGGTGCAGCAGAAAGCAGTGTCTCCAAGAGTCAGCAAACCTAGATTCTAGTTTCAGTTCTGTTACTAGCTTTCTTGATTATCATGGGCAGGTCACTTTCTAGGACACTCTTGGTATTTTAAAAAGTAAGGAAATAAGACAATAATCTTAGAAAAAATTTTATGCATTTTAAGTGTATTTAACAAAATAAAATTACCACACATTCACAAAAATGCGGTGATGATATACTTCAACCTCATTTGGAAAGGATCTCAAATATCGAGAATTTATGTCCTTACTGAAGGTGATTCTTCAGGCTAAGTGGCCCTCCTGGTCTCCCTTTGTGACAAATCCTAGTCACTCTGCATCATTGGATCTTGGGTTACTTGTGATATAATGAAATATCTCTGAGATCTGATTCAGCTCTGGCATTCTACATTTTTAAAATGAGTATTACAGACACTAATGTAGGTAAATAGACTTGACAAGAGGATGGCTTTTATATTTGTTGCCAATGTTTGCAATTTGGGCTAATAGAGTATATTAGGAAATATTTTATTTTTGAATAAGGTTATTTGTGATAATCTCAGTAATAAGTACAAAAATCAGCACATAAGCCATTTCAATATTAATTTGAAGTTGCCCTGGGGAAAACAGTCTTTGTGTTCAATTTCCAGCTCAATCACTGATTTGCTGTGTGACCTTAAGAAAGTTCTACCTACTCTCTGGGCTTCAGTTTGTTCATTTATAACATGAGGGTACTAGACTAGCTAATCTCGAAATGTTCTTCCAACTGATTTTTGAAGAGTCTCATATGTTGCAGCAGTCAAGGACTTGGTTGATGATTCTCCTGTTAGCAGTGGGTGAGTAACACCTTTCTCCATCCACCCAAAGGTTGGCCACCTGCCTTACTATAAGAATCTTGGTTCTTAAAATCCCGAAAACAAAATAAGCAAGAGACAGAACAAACATACAGGACAAAGAAGTAGAAAGACAAATAACCTGAAAAAAATGAAAAAAGCTGATCAACTTTACTCATAATAAGAAAAAATTCAAATTAAACCTAAACTGAGATACCATCTTTTGTCAAATCCTAAGGTGTTACTGTATTCTCTGTTGATGAGACTTTGGGGCAGCAGGTACTCTAATACAGCAGTCGCCAACCGGTGGTCCATGGAACGCTGGTGGTCCGTGAGGTCTGAAAGGTTGGCGACTGCTGCTCTAATATATTGCTGGTGTTAATGCATATAGACCTAGAGGAGGGGGATATGGAAATATCTAACAAATCTGCATGTTGTTACCCTTTCACACAGCAATCCCAATTCTAGGCATTTACTTTGAAGACACCTCCACAAAACAACATATACACGAGGTTCATCATTGCAGCATAATTTTTAATAACAAAAGATTGGAAACCACACAAAAGTTTAATAATAGGGGACTAGTTAAGTAAATAATTCAAACAGTGTGGTCATAAAAAAAGAATGGGAAAAAAATCTATGGACTTTGTTTTTGTAGTGATATCCAGGATGTTTTTATAGTGACTTCCAGGATGCATTATAAATTTTCAGCATATAAAACAGGAAACACCCAAGTTGTAAAACAGGATATATATAATGTACCTTTCTTGTTAGAAAAAGAAGGAAATAAGAATATAAACACATATTTCCTTACCTTTGTCAAAGGAAGCACAGTAAGATAAATAAAAAAACCTAATGACTCAGAATGCTAACATATTTACCACATGAACCAGCAATTGTGCTCCTAGGTATATACTGAAGAGAAATGAAAATATATGTTCACACAAAAAAAGAAAATATATGTCCACACAAAAAACTTGTGCACAAATATTCATAGTAGCATGATTCATAGTTGCCCAAAGATAAAAACAACTCAAATGAGACATCAACTGAAGAATGTAAAAATAAAATGTGATGTAAACATACAGCCATGAGAAGGAATCAAGTACTGATATATAGATAAACCTTGAAAACATTATGCTAAGTGAAAGAAGCCAGACACAAAAGGACACATTATATGATTCCATTTACATGAAGTGTTCACAATGGACAAATCTATAGAGACAGAAAGTAGATTAGTGGTTGCCTAAGGCTGGGACCTGGAAACATGGGAGGAAATGGGGAGTGACACTAACGGTTATGGGTATTTTGTTTTGTTTCTGAGTGGTGGACATGTTCTAGGATTAGATAATAGTGATGTTTACACAACTCTGAATATACTAAAAACATTGAATTGTACCCTTTTCCCTTTAAAATGGTGAATTTTGTGGTATGTGAAATATATCTTAATAAAGCTGTTATAAAAAACTAATTAAAATGATTACTAAAGAAGGCAGGTGGTAAGTAGAGTGAAAAGGATATGGATGAGTCCTCAAGTCCACCTTTTCTGTGGTTTAGACTTTTTTGAAAATATTTTTTTATTGATTTCAGAGAGGAAGGGAGAGGGAGAGAGAGATAGAAAACATCAATGATGAGGGAGAATCATTGATTGGCTACCTCCTGCACGCCCCCTACTGGGGATCTAGCCTGCAACCCAGGCATGTGCCCTTGATTGGAATCGAACTCTGGAACCTTCGGTCCGCAGGCCAACATTCTATCCACTGAGCCAAACCGGCTAAGGCTGGTTTTGACTTTTTGAGCCCTGTTAATGTTTCATATAACCAAAAAGTAAAATTTAATCAAAAGGCAAGCATTACAAACCTTAAAATTAAACATAAAAAGCTAACAAATTTAAATGTTTATCAAATTGATAACAAAGACACATCGAGAAAAGTGATTCCAACTAACATATCAACACAGTCCTTTGACTCTTCTTAATGAGATATATTCTAAACAGAACTGCAAAAAAAATTGTAAACATCACCTAGTACATTCTTTAGTACTAGTAATATTATTATAATGTGAAACTTCTATATATATATATATATCCTATCTAATAATAGACAAACAGGGTAATTGACCGTACCTTCGCTACGCTTCCCATTGGCTAATCAGCGAGATATGCAAATTAACCGCCAACAAAGATGGTGGTTAATTTGCATATGTAGGCAGAAGCGGCAGAGCGAAGACTGAAGGCGGCTCCAGCCGGAGCAGCGAAGGCTTTGAAGGCGGCTCTGGCCAGAGCGAAGGCCTGGGTGTCCAGTGCCGAAGGAAAACCGGTGCAGGCAGCCAGGGGAAGGGAAGGCCTATTGCACGAATCTTTTCGTGCAACAGGCCTCTAGTATATATATATTTCACAAGGATAAAGCAAAAAAGTAAATGTATTAATATTATCAAAAGCCAAGATATGCAGTATAAGAAAAAGAAATAAAAATACAAAATTCAAGATGTAAAGAAAAAATAATGGTAATGTTGAATTGAATAATGGTAATGTTGAATTGAGAATGCCAGTTCAAACTGATTTTAAAACAAAACAACAAAAACTGTGAATCAGTCTTGAAGTGATTCTACCCCAAAACGCAATAGATACACATAATACCTTGATGTTTGTTTATAAATAACATTCCCTTCTCAAAAGTACCAAGGCTGCTTAGAGAAATGACTGATGCTGGCTCTGGGACAAGGAAAATACAAGGAGAGCCTTGGATAAAGTGTACCTTTGTAGGCAAAGAACAGCTCAAACACTAATAAGTGTGTCATGTCACAAGGACACAGGGACCTGCTTGAAAAAGCTGGCACTGATTGCATCTGAGGGCAACCTGAACATCAAAAATAATAAATATTGTATTTGATTATAACCCTTGAATAAATAAAAATTTATCGGAAATAGGTAGAATGAGGAAAGCTCTTTATTAAAGAAGAAAGCCAGCTAATAAATGTGGGAGGAATGATAGAATTAGAAAAACTTTGCAACCTCAGTGCCCTACCTGTTTCAGACGTGGATGAAAATCATTGGGTGAAAGATTGTTCAGGAACAAGATAGTCATATAGTTTTAATGTACTACCCACATATTACATACTAATTCCAAATGGAAAAAAAATGTATCTTTATAGTGAAGCTGTCTGGCAAACACAACTTCAATTAATTGATCACAATTAGCATTGCTGAGCTGCCATCTTGCGTCCCCCTGTATGTGAGCTTATTATCAGCTAGTCTGCCCAAGACCCCCTGAGTGCCAACCCTAGTCTCCCTCGCTGCCCCATTTCCTCTCCAACAAGATGAAAGAAACTATCCTGAACCAGAAGAACCTCGCCAAACTGCAGGCACAAGTGTGCACTGGTGTGAAAGGAACTGCTCCTAGAAAGAAGAAAGTGGTTCACAGAACAGCTACAGCAGATGATAAAAACTTCAGTTCTCCTTAAAAAAGCTAGGGGTAAACAATATCTCTG